CACCGGCACCGGCAGCGGGGACGGCTGGCGGGGAGAGCGGCCCCGCAGCGAGGAGGACAACGAGCTGAGCCTGCCCAGCCTGGCCGCCGCCTACACCTCCATCCTGCGGGCGCTGGGAGAGGACCCGCAGCGGCAGGGGCTGCTCAAGACGCCCTGGAGGGCGGCCACCGCCATGCAGTTCTTCACCAAGGGCTACCAGGAGACCATCGCGGGTAGGGAGAGCTCCCGGGCCGGACGGCGGGAGGGTGAGGGGATGGAGCGTCCTGCTTGGGTACCCGCGAAGGGTTGCTTTATTCCCGAAAAGAAATTATTTCATCGTTGCTCTGTCACCGTGTCACCACCTGAATGTCTCGCTGTCCCCTCCCTCCCCAAATACCTTGGTGGTTTTTTTTTTTTTTTTTTTTTTTTTTTTTTTTTTTTTTTTTTTTTTTTTTTTTTTTTTTTTAATTAAACTGTGCAGGTAAAGTTTCCATTCTGTCGCAAACCTCTTGTCTGGGCGAGCAGAGCAAGTGCTTTTCCTTTCCCTCTTCTGATGGAAACTTTTCAAGCCCTGGCACAGGAACTTGTGGGTTCTCTCCTTCCTCCCTCCCCCGGCCGAGCGAGGCTGTGCTCAGACACGGTGGGAATATTTGTTTGGATTAGCAGACATAAACGGTTTGCATTTTCTCGGGAAAAGTTCTGTTCTGCCGATGATTTAAGCGGGTGAGGCTCTTCAAAGGGGGAATGAAACTTAAGAGAGGGAGGTAAAGAGAAAGGAGGAKGACAGGGAGATCCCCATCTCAGGGTCCCAGCAGCAAATGCAGGTATGGAGAGGTACYCCAGGTTCACATCCCTGCCCCATCCGAGTGTCTCTGCTGGCTGGATCAGGGCATGAGGAGCAACCGGGCGGGATATGATCTCAACAACAGCTCGTGGGTACAGTGCAGGGCAAATACGGCTTGAAATTTTATATWTTTACATCCCTTTTCTACTTCTCAGTCTCTTTACTAAGGACTATACCCCGTACAAACAGTAAAAACGGGCACGGAGAGCTTGGGAATTCCCCTWTCTGCTCCTTCTTACAGTAAAAGGCAAGTTCCTGTTAGTCAGGGATACAAATGCTGTCAGCAAGGAGCTCTGAGTGCGGCTGGGGAAGGAGCTGCTCCTGCCCTGCTCTCCGGAATTCCGCGCTGGTGTGCTGAGCCTGCCCCAGAACTGCCCCGGGGGGTTCAGCAAAGGCTGAACTGTGCTGATGGATGGCACCAGGGAGCTCCTGCGGGCACATCAGAGCCCTTCCCGAGTGCACTGTGCTTCAGCTTAAAGGCTGGTTCTTGTGTTTCGTTTCCTTTTTATTTCTCGCCTGCTGGCTCTTTTGAAATCGGATTACTGCCACTTCCAGCATTAACTTACTCATGGTCAGCTCAGACTCTTGTGCCAGTTGTGTCCCAGCTTCCAACCGGAGCTGCATTTCTGCCTCTTAAGTTGTTTTGCCTTCCAGATCAACCCAGGTTTTTGGGTTCACATCTGGAAATAGGGCAGGGGCCATCCTGGTTTCTCTCTTAGTCCTGCTGCACAGTGTGTTTGAGGTGAGGTTTYATCAGGATTTTGTGGTAACATCCTTTGTTTTCTGGGATTAACTTTGCTCATTTTACTGCTGTAAAACACTGGAGGTGTCTCAGTCATCCTGTCAGGCTCTTGCAGAAGGAWTTTTTTTAGTGATAATTTGAAGGTGAATTTCTGTGCTGACCTTTGATGAGGTTGCTGCCCTTAAGTACTCTCTTATCTTGCTGCCAGTTTTGGGTGCACACATTACCTGAAGATACTTTAAAAACTATTTTTGTGCTGCAAGGTGGATTCTCTGGGATCTCAATGGTCTTCTAATCTCTCACATTTCATTAAGCAGAGTAGTTTTGGATGCTCTCCTCCTGAATCTCCATATCTGGGAGAGAGCTGTACTATATCCAAGGGTAAAAAAATGACACTGCTGGGTGCTCTGCTCCTGGGCTGCTTTTTTTCTTGTTAGGAAGTCATGTGAAGMTGTGATGCTAACGTTGCTTCCCGTGTCAGGTGGAGAATCCTTTTACTTTCCACCTCCTCTCCTCTTCTTGCAGGATGCTCAGCTTCCACTTTTCTCACTCTTCCCAGCCAAACAGAAGGAAGAGCCATAGCCAAAGGACAAGCCCACAGCAGAGAGCCAAGCAAGTAGAGAATGAAGAGTTTGTTAGGAGAGTCAATATGTGAATAAATTCATCTTAGAGAGTTTTAAATATCTCATGAACCCTAGAGCCAGCAACTACAAAATATTGGGGTTCAAGAGTAGCTGTGGGACTGCTGCTGTCTCTGCTGAAGCATCCTGGTGTGCTGCTCCCTTGGTCACGCTGATCTAGCTCTCTACCTGGCCAGACTGTGAACTGGACCAGCAARGGGCTTGTAAAAGAGAAAATGAACRAAAACAACCCCAAACTCTCCCCAAAAACCTGACAAAAAGCAGCCCTGAGCCCTTGTTTTCCCAAGCTTTTTTTTGCAGCTTGCTCAGCTCCTCAMATGGAGCTGTCTGGGTAGGCAGAGGTTACAGCAGTGATGTTTTCAGGGTGTGTTTTAAGGAGTGTTTCAGTTTCATCCCTGCAACAGGCAGAAGATAAAGGGCTGCAAGTTYCCTCTTCCCAAGGAAGGCTCCTCAGGTAAAACTCGGTTGTGRTTGTACAGCCACATGGCCAAAGTGTGCTACAACAGGTCCCTGCTGAGCTCACAGACCTTGCCAGGGTGGGGTGGTGCTGCCAGAGTGCACAGCCAGGAAGGAGTGACACAGATGAACCAGGGTAGTGAGTGTCAGAACAGGGACAGGCTTTAAAATCAGCCCTTTAAAATCAGCCTTGTCTGCTGCAGCCCCTGCCTGATGGAGGCAGGAGGGAAGCAGCTCATTCCTSATAGTGTTTGCATTTTCCATAAAGGAATACAAAGAAAGATGTGATGGATACACATCCAAATTATAGAATGGTTTAGGTTGAAGAAGCCCCCCAAGATCAAGTCCTGTCCTTCCCTGGCATTGCCAAGGCCACCACTAATCCATGTCCCCACATGCCACGTGCACATGGCTTTTAAATCCCACTACTGATGGGGACTGCACCACTGCCCTGGGCAGCCTGGGCCAATGCCTGACCACCGTTTCTATGAGGAAATTTTCCCAATATCCAACCTGAACCTCCTCTGGCCCAGCCTGTGGCCACTCCCTCTCCTCCTGTCCCTGTTCCCTGGGAGCAGAGCTGGACCCCCCCCCTGGCTGCTTCCTCCTGTCAGGGAGTTGTGCAGAGCCACAAAGTCCCCTGCTGAGCCCCCTTTTCTCCAGGCTGAGCCCCTTCATCTGTCTCAGCCACTCCTGGTGCCCCAGACCTTTCCCCAGCTCCTTCTGGAGAGTGTAAAGTCACCAGTGCTCTGTCTGTGTTTGATGTGCTTGACTTAATCCTCCTTTGCTGTGTACTGAAAGGGTTGGATTAGCTGGCCTGTAAGGATCCCTTCCAGCCCAAACCATTCCATGATCTTGTGTCTGAGAGCACAATTCACATGGAGCAGGGTTCAGTGTGCTGGTCATTCAATCTCCTGTCCTGCCTGTTGCCACTTTGCTTCCATGACACCTGATTGTATTTCYGTGTTTGTACTTCYCMTAGCTTAACTTGGTAGTAGTGTAGRGAAGATAACACCRACATTCTGTCTCTCCATTCAGATGTGTGAGTAGCAGAGGAGCTGTTTCTGCTTTCCAGCTGCCCCTCAGTGTATTTCCTCCCTTGTTTTCAGCAGCAGTGACAACGTTCCTGCTTTTCCCCCATTCCTCTCTGCTATCTGTGCTCTGCAGCTGCTCAGTGCTGTGTGTCAGAGCCATTAGCAGAGTTTACTTGTTAAATATCTGGCTCTTTCYGTTAATTCCAGTTGTCATTTATTAATCCTGGCTTTACTGAAGGCCTCAGCCTCTTTCATTGACAGAATGTATTCAAATGTGCTGTTCTCACTGCTGTAGTACCAGTCATCACACTTGGGTTGGAGCAGCAAGAGTGCCTCTGGTGATTTCAAATAAAATCCACCTAGGGACCAGATTAGAAATCCTGGCAGCTCAGGGCAGACACTTGAGCACTGGTGGAGACTCACAGCTGCTGCAACAGAAACCTCTCAGCGTGTCAGTGAGGATGGCAGAGCAGAAAAGTCACCAAAAAGTCACCAAAAAGTTCCAACTTCATGCAGTGTTTTTGTGTGTTCTTTTCCTGTGTCAAATCCATCAGCTTCTTCCTGAAATTATATATTCATTTGGTTTGGTTTTGGGTTTGGTTTTATTGTTTGGTTTTTGTTGGATTTTTTTTGTTTGTTTGTTTGTTTGGATTTTTTTTGTGGGTTATTCTGTTTCAGAGTAGTAATTAAATTTCACAATAGTCCCCTTGGTTAATGAAATTTAACAGCAGGGCTGTGAGAGGTGCCTTAAGGTTTTTAGTAGCTGGTTCACGCTGCCACACAAAGAGTAAATCTTGTCCCTCTTTTCACTAAAGGCTTAATGTCATGATCAGAGGTGCTCTCTGAGGGTCTAACAATAAATGCTGCAAAGCACAATGGTGTGCAAGGGCAGTAAATGAGTGAATAAATGGAATATGAGGTTGCAGACAGCACTAAGTCGTAACTGAAGCTGAAGGTTTCAGACCCAGGTAACTGGTAAGTCACAGAAACGGTGCCTTGGGAAGGTGAATCATAAATGAGCTGGTTTGGATTGTGTAATCCTGCAGGAAACCTTAGGCACGGGGCTGGACGAACTGCCTGCATCTGCAGGAGGAAGTGGAGTTGTTCTCCTCAGCCTTGAGCACTTAAAACATGGAAAACACGTTTTTACCAAAGTGTCCTTGCTGGGGATGGTGGGAGCTGCTGCCTRAGACATCTCCCAGCCTTTATTCAGGGCAGCTTTCGGGCACATTGGCAGGTCCAGCTGTCCTTTTAGCATGTTTAACAGGGAAATGAAAATCAGAAATACTGGGAGGGGAWCACTTTGCTTTCTGAACCTCTGTGGTTCGAAAGGCTGTGTGGTATTTGCCTGGGAGCCAAGTGGCTCTGCTGGGCAGCTTTGATTTCAAAGCAAATAACCAGTTAGGTAATTTCCTCACCTGTTAGTTTATGTGCTTTCCCTACACTGAAGGGCGAAAAATTTCAACCTTCATATTCTTTTCTTCCAGCCTGTGTGGATTTGGTATTTTTACAGAGG